TTGTTCCCTTTTATTTATTTTTATTTTTTATTTTTTATTTTTTTTTTTTTTTTTGTGACAGGCAGAGTTAGACAGTGAGAGAGAGAAACAGAGAGAGAGAGAGAGAGAAAGGTCTTCCTTCCGTTGGTTCACTCCTCTAATGGCCACTACGGCCGGCGCTGAGCCAATCCGAAGCCAGAAGCCAGGTACTTCCTCCTGGTCTCCCATGCAGGTGCAAGGACCCAAGCACTTGGGCCATCCTCCACTGTCCTCCCGGGCCACAGGAGAGAGCTGGACTGGAAGAGGAGCAACCGGGACAGAATCCGGTGCCCCAACCGGGACTAGAACCCGGGGTGCTGGCGCAACAGGCGGAGGATTAGCCAAGTGAGCCACTGCACTGGCCTACAGCTTTGTTCTTAAGAAAGTCCTCTTCAGGATCAGCTGTGCACGTGGTATTTTTAGATTCTTGCATCCAGTGTCCATAACCTCACAGTACATTAGGATTGCACGCAGGGTTTGCTGAGTAGACTACTGGGTCCCCAACTCCTAGAGTTTCTGATTCAGCTGCTCTGTCATAAGACCTAGTTATTTGCATTTGTAGCAGATTCACAGGTGATGCTAGGCTACTGGTTCAGGCACTGCATTTTGAGAACCAATGGCCTAAACTACACTTTTTTATGTACCCTCATATTTGTTATTATCTAACCTAGAACATTTTGATTTGGATATCCTGCTTTTTACAGCATGACATATTTTCTTTTTTAAAGATTTACTTATTTACTTGAAAGTCAGAGTTAAACAGAGAAAGGAGAGGCAGAGAGAGAGAGATCTTCCAATCACTGGTTCACTCTCCAATTGGCCGCAACAGACAGAGCTGCGTGCCGATCCAAAGCCAGGAGCTTCTTCCAGGTCTCCCACACGGGTGCAGGGGCCCAAGGACTTGGGCCATCCTCTGCTGCTTTCCCAGGCCATAGCAGAGAGCTGGATTGGAGGTGGAGCAGCCAGGACTCGAACCAGTGCCCATGAGGGATGTGGCACTGCAGGTGGTGGCCTTACCCGCTATGCCACAACACTAGCCCCCATATTTTCAATATTATTACCTTTGTACTTTTTAAAAAGTAATTAGTGGTCACCTCATTCCTCAATGGCATCTTAGCTGTCTTTGTTTTTACTCCTTCCTTCTCCCAAAATAAATACATGATTCATACATTCCAAATAATGATACTGGTGACAGCAGCTAACATTTATCAAACATTCATTCTGTGCTAGAAACTGTTCTGAGGACTTTATTTGTATTAATATAATTCTTACAACTCATCTGTGATGTAGGTACTGTTAAGAACCCAGAGTAACTGATGAGGAGACCTGAACTCAGAAATGTTCCTACAGATATGGAAAAGTGAAAGACATGGGAATCTAACCTAGGCTTTTTGGTTTCAAGCCCTAGACTCTTTCTTGCTACATTGCCTAACTCTTTACCTCTGTGTTACCCTCTGATAGGGTGTCTTGAAGTCACTTGTGCATACTGCTTTATGTAGGCATAGTCCTCACTGCTCCAGTGAGGCTTACTAACTAACTTGTCAAGTTTTTTTTTTTTTTTTTTTTTTTTTACTGGCAGTGTATGTTTTTAATCTTTTTAAGTTTGAAATGCAGAGTTGACACAGAAAGAGAAGAGGAGGGAGGGAGGATGGGAGGGAAGAAGAAAGGGGGAGAGAAAGAGAAGGGAAGGAGGGGAGGGGAAGGGAGGGGAGGGGAGAGAGAATATCTTCCATCTGCTGATTCACTTCCCAAAAGCCTACACAGCTGGGGCTGGGCCTGCGCCAGGCCGAAGTCAGGAGCCAGGAACTCAGTCTGGGTCTCCCATGTGGGCAGCAGGGACATAAGTACTTGAGCTATTATCTGCTGCCTCACAGGGGTGCACACGAACAGAAGCAGAGGTAGGACCGTATCCCAGACACTCTGATATGGGATGCAGGCTTCCCGAGCAGCAGCTTAGCCCGCTATGCCACAATGTCCCCCCTGACAGTTTCTTGTTAACTAATAAAGTAGTAGAACTAAGACCTAGGTCTTCCAAATCATTATGTCCACCCCCTCAACCAGTGTATTTTCTTTCAACCTCCGTAGATTCCCAAAGCCAAGTCTTACAGTGTCAAGAATCATGTTTCCAGTGTTGATTCAGATCACTTCTCAGAACAAAAGTTTTTTGTTGTCTTAGAATAAAATACCTCATTTTTGTTGTTAGGTTCTTACTCATCTCATCTCAGCCACCTTTTTTTTCCTATCTGGTAAACCCTTTTAATGTAGAATTCTCTCACTCATCTAAATCATCTTGTATACTTTTTTTTTAACAGTGAAATGCATTAAAATTCTAGGTTTACAAGAAAAATATCATGCCCGTCTTCCACCATGCCCTTTGGTATACACAAAACAGTATTATGACCATTGGACAACCTGTCATGTCTATGATGGTATATCCTGTTTTTTAATGGACTAATTGTAAGAGTGGGGAACATCCAGCCTACAGGCTGTATAAGGCCCATGAAATCATTTGATCTGGCCCTGTCAAGACAATGACAGGCAGATCTCGAAATCTGGTAATTCTGTAGCATGCTATTTTTTAAGTTGATAATTTGGGATGGCCCACAAATGATGTTACAAATATCCAAATGGCTCTTTTCAGGAAAAAAAAAAAAAAAAAAAAAAAAAGGTGTCATGCCCCTGGAAGAGCATCAATTTTCTCTAATTTGGATGAAAACACTATCATCAACCTTATAGAGTAATTGAACTTCATTACTTGATATGCATAGTACCCCCATGGATGAGGGTAAAGGGAGGTAAAATTAAATGCCTACTGTGAACTCTAAAGATAATTTCATCTGGAATTTCCTGAGAAGTGGCTGTAAAGAAGTTAGTGTGACCTTGAGCTTCAAAGACTCCAAATAACTGTTTGCTGGAAAATTCTATATTCTAGTAAGATGTCTCATTTTTTTCTTTTCCCTGAATCTATTAAAGTCCTTGTGAACAATGTATAGTCTATGTACTCTTCATAGTTTTTAGCTATTTTTTTCCTTTTTGATCTCTGGGACCTTAATCTTTCTCATTGACTATCTCATAATTCTTGTCCATTCTTCTTACCTCCCTTAAGTTCTACTACCATCCTTCAATTTTCTTATGTTTCTCCCCTAGAGTACTGTTTATGGCTGTCTAATAGCCCCAGATTTTATTATAGACATTTATTTATTAAAGTTTTTCAATATATAAAGTCCCTTGAGTAGTAATCAGTGCTGTCTTTGTCAGAACTCAGCAGGTAAAATAGTTATTCTGATGCATGACAGTGCTTCAGTAAAATTCTAGTAAAAGGCTTAGAGCTTTAAGAATTAAATTATAATCATTTGTCCTTTACTGAGCAATATTTGATAAATAAAATGTTTTATTATTTTTTAATCTGTTGGTAAGATTATGATGAAAGATTATATTATTGGCTATTAGTAGCCTGCATATATGCATATAAATCACTGGAAATCATTCCTAATAGTGATTATTTAAAGCAACCTCAAGTGTGACACTTGGAAGAGGTGAGAGTTCTGCTGTATTCCCAAGCTTATTTTGGCATAGAACTGTGCTTTTAGAGCCTAAGGCCTTTGTTGCCATGGAAACAGTAACAGCCCCCTTTTAAAAATATAGTCTTAAAGTTTGAAATGCTGTTTAGTTGTGTGTAGATTTTGAATGCACATTTCAAAAATATTTCCTGTATTCTTCCAGTGCTTTCTCATTTTTATCCACCAAAGAAAATAAAGGAGTCTTCTGGCTATTGTAATGATATTTTATATTACTTTTTACAGGGTCTTTTAAGAATAATTTAGAATCTTCTGTTTGTCAATAATAGATGAGTATTTTGAAAAATGTACTGCTCTGAAACAATCAGGTGTCTTAGACACCTGTAGTTATATTAATAGATAACGCAGACAATTCAGTTTTTAAATTCATGTGATACTGTTGTGTCAGTGCTATACTAAGTATCCTATTATAGTTCATTTGATGCAGTTTGAAACTACCTAAGCAATCTTAATAAAATATTTTAAAATTTCATAAAATATTTAACTATTTACTTGACTATATATTAATATTGTTCCTTCATTTTTCCTTTTAAAATTCAGTAAATTAATTTATATGTACTTTAGTAAGTTAATTTTGATCCATGAATGATTCTTGGTTCTTTATAAGTATAAATGATTTCCATTTCATGGAATATTCCAGAGACTTCATGACTAAATTTGTAGTTATGTCACATTTTTTAGCATCCAGTGTCAAACTGGTATGACTTAATATTTTTGGCCACTAAAAATTTGACTCCTTACATTAAGTAAGAGAATTGTTTTTCCCTGTTAAGCTACACAGATTAGGCCTCATGGCTTATGTTTAATATTATTTACAGTATTTATCACAACCGAGTATTAGCTATTCTAGATAAAGAAAACCTTCTGATTATAACTATTATAAACAAAACCTTAAAACTTAATCCTGTCCTGTCCTTAGTTAATACTTGAGTATAATGACAAATGAAGATTTTTTAAAAAAAAGAGATGTTTGCTCTATAAAGGGAAAAAATAGCTTAATGGGCTATAATAGGCAATCACAATTTATGCCTATTTTAAATATTAGATTTTAGTTTTTTCAGCTTTCAGAGAGTTTTTAGCAAGACCCATCTCCTCTATGAAGAATGCAGTTATTTTTTTTTTCTGGCACAAAAACTAGGGTAACCTGATCTGAGTCTGACAGAGTGTGTTGTTCGTTTAAGTGCTTCCATCTGTTGCCTGCTGTTCCCCTTACTCATGACCCCTCTGTGTTTCTCTTTTTCCTTTTCTCCTTCTCTTTCCCTCCGTCTCTCTTTCCCTTCTTTTCTATTTCCCCCTCTCCCTCTTTTCCCACTTTTTCCTTCCCTCCATCCCTCCCAAATTTCCTTTCCTCCTCCTGCTTGGCCTCCTCCTCCTCCTTTCTCTCTCTCTCCTTTTTGTCCTTAGCCCCTCTGAGGAAGGCAAAGTTTGTTGAGAGCCCACGAATTCCAGAATCCGAGCTTGGCTCACCAACCCTCACTTCAGCTCAGAAACTGGACGTGGATGCATACTGCCCTGGTAAGCATGCATGCAAAGTGTCTGCTTGGAAACGGGAGGATTAGGTCAGGTCCGTCCAGCAGAGCAGTATTTTGCATGTATACTACTTACAAAAACATACTATTACCTCTTTGGCAACTGATTACATATTCTCTTTAAAGAGTATATTTATTACTGAACATCCTGTTTTGACTATTGATATTAAAATATAGTGTTGTAAAAAATTTAAAAAATCATTTTCAAAAGATTTAAATCATTTTTGTGGATAAATATTTTGTGATTTGAGATATTTGAAGAAATTGTGCTATGGCCACATACAAACAGCACTGTTGAAGATATAAATAAGAATTCAGCACTGGACTTTTTACATATAACCTATTGTACTTCATTCCTATTGGATTTCTAGATAGCTACAGAAAAAATTTGTGATATTGGGAACCTTAGACCTGAATTAAAAAAGAAATATTATAGATTCCTGAGTCCAACTACTTTTGGCCATTCACTTTTTAGAAATACCTCTACTCATGAATGGCCTGTTAACACATGTGAGAGTTCACTAAAACCCTTCTTGTGCGGGAGCCAAACTGAGGCAGGCCCATTATCAATGCTTAGATTCTTTGAAGCTTAGATGAGTTGCCTGGCAACGTCCTTTACACTTTCTCTACAGTGAGTCCATAGAGCTGTGTCTGAAATGTTCACAGCTCTAGTTGAGTATACAGATGAGACCATTAGTAAAAGACCTTAGAAAACCTGATTTTAGTTCTTTTGTTTATTCCTGCTCATTAAAATTTATGTTAAGCCACAGTGAATGCAGCTACTACATATTTAGAGCATCAGAGGTCAGCAAAGTAAATTGATTCCTAGTTGTAAGGAAACTATCGGAAACGCTGATCCACCATGTCAAGATAAAATATCTCTGAAGCCAGATAAGACCTGCTAAAATGAACAAGCAAACAGAAAACCCAGTGGGAGAAAACTTGGGCCAAACAAAAATAAGACACATTTGATTTTATGAATTAATTTTGAATGTGGAAAGACCTTGAGGATTTCCCTTTCAGAGTAGTACAGACTTCCTGCACTACTGTGAATGATGGGGTTTTCTAAATAAATCATGGTTATATCTTAGGTTGGGACTTATGCCTCCATGAGAAACAAAATTGCTCTGTAGATAACATCGCAGCATGTGGTTAGAAGAATCTTTTTTGTGTTCTGAGGTATTACCAGTCTTCTTGGGCAATGAAATACTGTACTTTACACTTCATGCAAATCTTAGCGAGTTAAATAAAGTAACTGCTAATTCCTTAAAAAACCCCATCAGAGACCTTTTGTTTTCCAGATTTACACATCAGAATGACTGTCAGGGTGACCTAATCTCACTTCTTGATTGCCCATCTGACATCCTTAATCTAATGTAGCTATTGATATTGTCATAAAGCAAAGTAACTGCTGTTCGTTGGAATACCAGTGGTGAATCACTTTGAACAATTTTATCAATGTGATTCTTTAAATATTTGTTCCACAAGCATGAATTCTTTGCTGAATTAGAATGGAACCAAACTAAACCTCAGTAAAGATTTTTAGACAGACAGGAAGAAGCCAAAAATGATTTCTATCCTATATGGACTTTTTTTCCTTATGCTTATTTAAGCATAGAAACTTCACCGGGACTTGCTCTGTGACAGTAAAGTTTTTAGGGCCTGGTATTGTGCTACTGGTTGAGCCGCCCCTCACCGTGCCAGCCTCCTGTGTTGCAGTGCTGGTTCGAGTCCATGAGTTGGAGTTCTGGCTCCTAGAGTTCCTGTCTCCTGGCTTCTTACAGGCCCTGGCTGCTAAGGGCATATGGGGAAGTGGCCAGCAGATGCAGGACCTCTCTCTATGTGTCTTCCCTCTCTGTCACTCTTTCAAATAAATAGATGAGTCTTTAATAAGAAAAATAAAGTTATTACATTCTCTGAAAATAAGTTTGCACTGAGATAGAATGGTAATCTGGAGGCCAGCCTCGTAGCACAGAAGTTATGCTGCCACTTATGATGCTGGCATCCCATAGGAGCGTGCCAGTTTCCAGCTCCCTCTTATGCACCTGAGGAATAGCAGAAGACGGCCCAAGTCCTCGGGCCCCTGCCACCTGCATGGGAGACCTGGATGGAGTTCCAGGCTCCTGGGTTCAGCCTGGCCCAGCTGTGGCTGTTGCAACCATTTGGGGAGTGAACCAACAGATGGAATATGTCTGTCTCTGCCTGTCTCTCCCTCTCTCTCTAACTCTGCCTTTCAAATAAATAAATAAATCTTAAAAAATAAAAGGTAATATGAGGTTTAAGCTATTATCTCTACATATTAACGAAAAGTAGCAAGAGAGAAATGAGTAAAGAGTACCTGCATGAAGCAAACTGTTGGGACTCTGAAAAATCACCTCAGAGTCTGGTTATTTGTCAGGCTGATTGCTTTGAGCTAAAGATCAGAAGGCCTCAGAACCAAGGTTTCTCTGTCTCTTATCCCTTTACCTCTTTGCAGAGGAAGTTTTCTCTGATGTTCCCTTATCTGCCTAAAGATAGATCCTCCAGAAAGGAACTCAATTATCAGGAGCCTCCCTTCTGGCAATCTCATCAACCAGGAAAGATTAAGTGTTATCATGGGAAGCAGAAGCTTGACACCATACCAGACAGTCACAGGCTGTCACCTGTTGGGAGGACTCCTCCATCCTCCCCCAATCATTGACTTTCCCCTAAATTACCTATGTCCTCCTCATGTAAGCTTCTGCGTCTCACTAGATATTCGAGTACTTTTTTCTGACCTGTGATGCCTCCCTGCACATATCCTAGTATGCCCTTTATCCTAGTAATCTGTCTGCCATCACTTCATTTCATAGAACTAAATACTGGAATCGTTTAAAGGTAAAGAGAAACTGTTTTGCTCCCCCTAGAGGGCTAATATCAATCTATGCTTTCGGGGAAGAAATTTAACATAGAATATACTATCAGAACAATGATTATTTTATTATATATTCATATACAATAATGCAGTGAAGGCTAATGTTCTGATATCTTCTTATCTACATGCTTTACTCATTATTACCCATAAATTTAGGAAACTATTTTATCTTGCAGAGACAACTTTGAGTTTATCATAAACTCAAAGTTAGAGCAGTGGTTCTCAAATTTTAGCATACTTCATACTTAAGAGAGCGTGTCCAAATGCAGACTGCTGGCTCCACCCTGAGAATTTCTGGTTCGGTAGGTCTGAAGTGAGTCAAGAACTTGCGCTTGTAGCAAATTCCCAGATGATGTAGAAGCTGCTAGTTAAAGTTCCACGCTTTGAGATCTGATTGGATTAAAGGGCTACTCTAGGCTGCTTACGAATAATGCAGTGAACAAATGCTAGAGGGCTATGGAATTCATGCTACTACTATTGACTTCTAGAAAGTAGTTAGTAATGTTTCTTTATCATCTAAACTAAAAGTTTTTGGTAGCTATATTTTAGACTTTGTGTTTGAGAAATGAACTTTTATTTTTGTTGGATTGTTTGTTTGTATCTAGCATCTTTGTACCAAAGCCTGACTTTTCTGTGCTGTTGTATATGTACAGGAAATTGTAGATCAAACAACCGAGTCAGTAATACGTTGTCTACAAAGAATAGATTGAATCTGTATAGCATTACATTCTAGAATGTTTAATTCCAGTTTTCTTTTTGCTGAAATCAAATTTGTTGTAGGCAGAACATGTAGGGGGAAAAAGTAAATAAACTGTATATTTTGGTTCAGTAACTGCAGCTTATGGAAGTGATTAATTGTGTTAACTAAGCCATCAGAGTAGGGGATGTTCAAGGAATTGTGTTGTATAATTATCTCACAGTAGGGAAAGAAGACCTGGAAAATTTAAGTGATTTGTCAGGATCAGAAGCAGAATTTATTATTGAACTCTTAAAGTGAACACAGTATAATTCAGAAAGACATTTCCTTCTAATCCCATTACTATGCAAATTCTATAAACACTCATTACTTATTAGATTAAAAAAAATTAATTTTTATGTTTGAGATGGGACTGTATTCTATTATCATGAAAAAAGCTAACAAAGTGATATCAATGATTAAAGAATAATTTCCAAAATAACAGAACAGACTCATACTCTGTAACTTTTCAGCATGCAGTATTACTTGTTGGCTGTGTGCCTTTGGGCAAGTCACTTAACTTTTCTAAGCCTCAGTTTCCTCATCTCTAAAAATGAGGATCATATTCTTAAATCAGATTACTATGTATATAAAGCATTCAGCAGAATGCTTGGCCCCTAGTAAATACCTATGAATGTTAGCTAATTTTATTGTTATTACAGTAATAATTGTGAGGTATAGCACATTATGTTAAATTGTTTTCTAAGTCAGAAAAAAATGTCTAAAAACGTTGGGTCATTTTAATTAATTGTGTCTTACTCCAATTCAGTTCTGATTTTTACCTTACAGTCTTGTGATCTGGAATATGACATGTAATTTCTTTGCGCTTCAGTTCCCCATCACAGCAATTCATATATAGTATGTCATTATTTTATAATTTTAAAAATTGTGTATCTGCATAGATAGGTATATATATATTCATTCATTCATTCCTAGGAAGAATATCTAAAAGACTATATCATTGAAACTTTGATTGTTTAAAGAGGAAGAGAATTAGGACTATTGGGAAAGCCAGAGATAATATTAATGTTAGCAGAGATTGTATATGGTGGGTGGGATTACATACAAGTGGTTTTAATTTTCTTGGTCAGCATATGTGAGTGAAAGCTCAGGTTCTGGAGTTAGATCTGCATTTAATTTATGGTTTTTCTACATACTAGCTCTGTGCTTTGTCTCACTTTCATCACTTTAAATTCTGTGTAAAGTTGTGGTAAAAGCAGACCTATCTTAAGAAAAAAAGACTTATCACATAGAATTATTACCCAGATTAAGTGAAATTACGCATATGCCACATGCTTAGCTCAGGTGGAATAGCAGTGAGAGATGTTAACACCCTTGCTGTTATTCTTGTTTGTCA